AGGAAATCGCTATGAATGTGTGGTTATAGTTTGGATATATATAACAGATACGGAAATCTAGACAAATTACAGTGAATGTTAATCACCCTTTCTCAAAGTAATAAAACGGATACAGGCTCTTAGACAAACTATACCGAAACTGCGAACAATGTTTTTTATACATAATAGATACAGCTACCAAGACAAATCACACTGATCATGATTTTGTGATATAAGAATAATGCAGATACCTTTACAAATCTGACTATATATAATATATTATGATAAACAATAGATATCTAAAAATTGAATATCTGATTGTCATTCGTTTCATATTACGTATGAAGTTATCTTTACAAATCTTACTGAATGTTGATTAATATTTCTTGAAACATAAATATATAATGTTTTTATTTTTTTTTGTATAATGGATACATATAATAGATAAGCAATACAGGTGTTATCGTAATTTATTTTAATATATAATGGGTGCGGAATCCTTCACAAACCACTCAGAATTATGGTCTCGTTTTTGATATATACATGACCATATACTTAGATAAAACACACAGAATGTGCGAATATTGTTTTTGACACACAATAGACACAAATACTCAGGTAAACCACATAGATTGTGCGAATATTGTTTTTGATGTACAACAGCCACAGACTTTTACAACACAAATTCATAATCAGATCTTATTGAATGTTGATCTTCTTTATTGACACATAACAGATACAGATAACTAAATAAATCTTACTGAATATCGATCTCCATTATTTCTGTATACCAGATACAGAACAATACTGAACTTGTAAAGATTATTTTTGAGATATAACACATACATATAAATAGACCATACTGAACGTGTGATCACCATAAACATATACAGACACCGTAAGAAACGATAAAACAACGTAAGCATTCGTGTTATATAATATAATACAAATACTATGAGAAGCGATAAATATTATTATTATTATGATCATTTTTGATAAATATAGCGGAACCATGTAATTAGATAAACGCACTGTATATGCAAACACTATTTTTGATGTATAACAGATACAAACACACTGAAAGGGTTGGCTTGTTTGTTTGTAATTAAGCACAATACTACACAATGGGCTATCTGCGCTATGCCCACCACGGGTATCGAAACCCGGATTCTAGCATTGTAAGTCCGTAGACATACCGCTGTGCCACTGGGGGGCCACTGAAAGGGTGAAAAAAATTTTAGTTACATAACATTCATATATTTTTTTGAAAACCCAGAAAGTATTAATCATTGTCTTTGATCTGTATCGGATACAAATGCCTTAACAAATCTGACTGGCTGTGTGTGATAATAATTCTTGATATGTATAAAGAGGGCCTGGCATGGCCAAGTGGTTAGGGCGCTTGACTCTTAATCTGAGGGTCACAGGTTCGTATCCCCGTCCCACCAAACATGCTCGCCCCTTTCAGCCGTGGGGGCGTTATATTGTAACGGTCAATCCCACTATTCATGTAGCTTTACGCGAAATTCAAATCAAACCAATGTATTAGGTTGTAAAGAAAGTAATGTCGCTTTTTTTAGATGAAAAAAAAACCCGAATAACTTATATATCAAAACAAAACATTTATTAATTGAAATACTCTCCATTCTTATCGATGATGCTTTTTCATTTTACATCTTGTTAATTCCCTGATTAAAGAAATCAGTTGGCTTTGAAGCAGAAAAACATGTCGATGTCCTCTTTAACACCTTCCACATTTGTATACGTTTTCCCATTCAGATGGTGTAACGGAGAACGATGGTGCCATATCTGGAGAATCTGGTGGGTAGAGGAGAACTTCCCAACCCAACTCCATAATCTTGTGTTGCATCAAACATGTCACATGTGGACGTATATTGTCGTGGAGAAGAAGAACATCTTTCCGATTGACGAGTGAAGGGCTTGATTTAAACGTTCCTGTTGCTGACTTTAGATCTCTTCGCTGTGGATTGAGGAGTTCGAAATGAATTACTCCTTTGATGTCCCACCAAATGCAAAACATCACTTTCTGCAGATGAAGTCCAGGTTTGGGGTCGGAAGTGGTTTTTGTCTAGGATTGAGCCATTGTTTTTGACATTTAATATTCGCATAGGAAATCCATTTTTCATCACCGGTGATAATTCTATCCAAAAATGGTTCATGCGCATTACGCGCCAAAAGAGACAAAGCAATGTTCACACGTTGGAAACGATGATCATCGGAAAGTTCGTGAGGTACCCAAACACCTTCTCTATGGAGTTTTCTCATATTCCTTGATGTTTAGATATTGTTTCATGAGAGACATGTAATTTCACGAGTGTATTGCCTTGGGTTAGACTCAACAAGCGTCTTCAGAACATCAATATCAATTCCA